ATATCAGTCAGCTCTCGGATCGGTCACGAATGTTCGCTGGGGTGATGATGATGTAAATAATTCTGTTCAACTTAAAAGATCTATTGAAGATTTACAGCAAATGCTCATTAATTTTACCACATTAAAAGGAAAAAAATATGGAATAAAGATTAATGAAACGGAAGGAGCGAATCTTTTAACACGTTACAATTGTCGTACTGCCATAAATCATAAAAACGCAAAAAAGATTTTAAGTGCCGCGCTACAACGTCTTACCTTGGAGACATTATTCAATGAAATTGAACAATATTTTAAGCAAAAAACAAAATCATCAAAGGATCAAACAAGTACCACTCCGACTAGCACCACTACTACTTCTAATAATAACAATAGTGGATCTGGTGACTTGAAACCAAAAGATCCCGTAGATGATGTTGAGAGAGATATCATAGCGTATACTTATCGTTTAAACTATTATATTGACAAATTCCGTAATCATCGTCAAGGAACTGATGACCTTACTCGAATTACGCCAATAAAAATTCGCCAGCAGGTTTATGCAATTTTGGGAATACGCGGTTTCATCAAAAAACATGAAGCAATCCCCTCAACAAAATCTTCAAATGATGATAATAATGAAGCAATCGAATCACCTCCAACCAGCAATGAACATTCTCATTATTTCATTGATTCACTAGTTAAGAAATGTCTGAACATAATGGCGATGCATCGAGAAATCAAATATGATGCGAAAATGGAACAGCAGTATCGTGAGGAAACGGAGGCGATGGTCATCGAGGTGGTCCATCTCTATTTACGTTTGCATACACAAGAACCAATTCCAGAATTTCGAAAATTCTTCTCTAGCGGAGAAGAAATCCATGCGTCTCTAATGAGTGGGCCAGAGGTTGCTGACGATGATTCCGGTGAACAGGTAGTAGAAATCTGCTCGTTTCCATTAATCGCTACTCAAGGGAATAAAGTGTTGTGTAAAGCTCAAGTGGAGACAAGACCTGTTAGTACATCATTTTGGAAAAAGTAGCCTTAAAAAATAATTGAGTTTTGGATATACCTAAATTCATTATTAATTGTGATATGTTGAAAATCTCAAATAAAATATGTGGTGGCTCCCATCTTTAGTTGTGACTATATGGAGGTCAAATTTTTTACAAGAAAAGATGGGAGTATGGAACGTGATTTATAGAGGAATATACATATATAAATTTTTTATTCTATTATAGAGATGATTATTATGCAGAATATATTATTATTATTATTATCATTATTATTTTTTAATGCTTTGACAAATGATTAATTCACGGACAACGAAATACAGAATAACAAATAAATAAAATGTGTTATTTACAAATGAATTTTTTCTAATCAACCATGATAGTAATGATTATGATGATGATGATTTGGATGATGATGATTATAATCAAAACCTGTTAAGTTTTCCTCCCTATTATTGTCTGTATGAATAAAAAAAGTTTGTGTAGTTTGTAGTGTATGTATTGGCAATAGATTAAGATCATTTGTTCGTTGGGGTAAAATGAGATGTGGTGGTGGTGTTGGAGGTGACAATGGTACTTCAAAATGTGTTCGATTGGATATGACTATACGTGAATCCTTTTTTGGCGGAACTGGAAGAGGATTCTGTCTATTTACTATACGATTGTTTCCAGATGGTGACTGCCAATTTTGTCCTCTTTTATCCCATTTTTGGCGTAATAATTCCCTTACTTTCATTAATACTTTCCCTAGCTTATTTTGTCCAGTTCCATCTCCACCATCACCCCAAAATTTATCCAGCTCCGTATGTTCAACTAGCTTAAGATCCCCTGTTTCCAACAAATATTGAGCGAGAATACGATGCTGAAAAAATTTCTGCTTCACCACCCAAAGCATCGCATCCACATTTCTCTCTTGCCATTTCGGATCCACATATTCTTGATGTCTACGTGCCATATTCAATGCCTCTCGTGGGCTTCTACATCGACGAATTCGTTCTGCGACATCAGGGTTTGTGTCTTTAAATTTCATTGCCTGAAATAAATGTTCGCTGGTCGGCCATAATTTTTCTTGCGAGTAATATGGATAACGCTGTGCTATCGTAGCCGATGAAGATGTTGTGCCATTATTGTTGTTATTGTTATTTGATGAATTTTCACCATCTCCTCCTTCGCAAATTGTGTCTGGTAATGCCGCTTTAATTGGGTATCCCTCAATAAAATTTGTTAGAAAAAAATACGGGTCCTCGCGATTGTAAAACCAAATCGTCCCTTCTGGCGCTGTTTTTATTTCATCACGATATAAAATCAATTATTCTCTATTTCAGAGTAAATTGAAAACAGAGGTTATAATTAAACACAATTACCGGTTAATTGTTCCCTTTTGATGGTTGAAGGGGGAGGTGGCGTGGTGGAAACTTCATCCGCTACTATTTATAGACAAATTAACAAGGTTAGCTAACATTCGAATAAAAATAATCACTTAATAATCTAAACAAAAATTTATCACCTTCCCCAATAATTCGCGTATGAGCTTTTTCACCGTGTTTACATACAGAGCAACTTGATTCCTCATAACTCGGTTTAAATAATTCACAACTACAAGATGGTTCAGAACATCCAGTATCATTTGAGACTTTATAAAAGAGATCAAAAAAATTAGACAATATTTCTAAAAATAAAACAAAAGAATTCTTTTTCATTATATTATTACCGTGTTCTTCTTTATCGTGATTACATTCGGCGCATGTCGAAGAAGCATCATCTTGATTAGTTGCGAAACATTTACAACTACAACCGGTTACAGAGCAAATAAGAAATCTCATGGCTTCGTTCTCGGTTTGTATGTTATGTTTGGTCTTTATATAAAGTTCGTCGTTGCCGCTGCCGCTGCTTCTAACGTTTTTGAATTAGTTAGTAAATCGTTTTTGATAGAGAATAAATTACTATTACTTTAGATGGTAAGACAAAATTGTCGATCAATAATATCGTTTTTTTAATAAAAATCGTGTAACATAATTATTGATACCGTAATTTCTATATTAAGCATCATAATAAGCCTAGAGTTAAATTAAATATATCGTCAGATCAATGCATTTTTCGTATTTTCGTATTCTTTTTTCTTCCTCGCGCTCGCTATTTTTATTATAATAAAATTGCGCTAATAAATAAGGCTATTGTTGATAGTTACATCGTACAAACAAGTTATTTGGGTGGTCTAGTAAGAGTATAGGAACAAACATGTATCAAATAACAGCTACTCGGAACCCCATTCACAGTCAGCTAAATCACCATCACGACATTAAAAACATATGTCTATACTGCACTAGTAAAAAGGTTGACACCGACTTGGACGGATACCCAAGCGAATACTGTAGTGACGAGTGTCGTCGAGAAGCGTCAGCCGCTGGCCTTGCAAACCCACCTTGTACACAATGCGGAGTCTTTCCACAAATCACAAAATCAGCTTATTGTGGGTGGACGAGGTGTCGTAACATACCAATGTGTATGCATTGCAAGGTAGAGTATATGATGGCCAGGCAACTGGCACAGCAGCAGGTTTTGTCATAAATATGACTGTTCGAAAAACGTAGCATATGTTTATTTTATTGAAAAGAAATTGATATTTAGACAATAGTGAAGATTTAGATTTACAGATTTTTTATTCTTATTATTATTGATTTAATAATAATAATTTGCAGGATAAACCCGTGTTTCAACGTTCGTTATGGTGCTCGATAAAATGTCGTAATTTGACACCAAATTGGCAATCGTTAGTGGTCGAGCGAAGTAGTCAATTATGTTTGGTATGCATACGAGAGAACGCATTACAGGGCAAAGATATTTGTGGTGATATATGTCAAGATTACATAATTAAGAATGGTAAACAATTATTCTACAATATAAATGAAACCATTAATTAAAATCAGTAAATTGATTGTTTTGATCTTTTTGATTGATATGAAGCTCCGTGCCTCTTAAATTTACCGACAAATGGACAAAAATTTAAAGACATATCCAATCAGTTTATAAAATCATGGAAACATGCACATAAACCACTCCCAGATGTGACTGCCATCTGGAAAATCTATTGTAGTGAGGCAATGAATAAACGTTACAACGCGTATCGTGATGCTGTTGAGTATCAGCAAAAATTAGCCGGTAAACCGTTTCCAAAAGGTGATGGAATGCGAAGACGAACAATGACAGCTGGTAACGAACAACGGAGATTTCATGGAACAAAAATGTAAGACAGAATAAACGTCTTGAATCATTTGGTCTCATCTCATTAACAATTGTTTAAATAATACGCAGGAATTGCTTTGTTGGATTATTAAAAACCGCAATACTATGCTCAGACAATACTTGTGCAATATGCTGCATTATTAGAGAAGGCTACAAATTGAAATTCGTCGGAACAGGAGAAATAAGTCTCGCATTCCAACGTTTCGGTCGAGGTCTTTATTTCTCGGGCACATCCTCAAAGTCAGATGATTACAATGAAAAGTCCTTGAAAAACTATAACGGATTTAAGTATAAAGCAATGTTGTTAAATAAAGTAGTAGTGGGCAAAGGATTCCCACAAATTGTGGACGATACAAATCTCGTGAGGCCACCAAACGGTTATGACTCGATACTTGGCGAACCGAGTTCAACCGGAAATCTAAATTATGATGAGGTGGTCGTGTATGATGAGGCTGCATGTTTACCACAATATTTAATTATATATCGAGTGTAATTGGACTTTTTAGTTGGGCAAATTTTTTTGATTTTTTCATTTTGTATTTGTACATTTAGTATTAATTTATTTTTATTTATTTGTTTATTTATTTACGTTTTTCAATTTACAACTCGACAACTTAACAATAGAACAGATTAAGTTAGACCCCTTACTAAAATTGCATTGTGTATTTTTCGTAACTATATATATTTTACAATATTCGATTACATTATTCGATTACATTATTCGATTACATTATATTCTATATTATGCATTATTATATTACACAATAATAATTATTTTCAATTAACCTAACCAAATGCATCATACACTTTACCGTTGATTTCGCCAATCCTTTGTTATAGTCAACGAAGTATGCCCCTTTACCATCCCTTCTATCAATTA